CGGAGGGAGCCGGGGCAGCCGCGGAGGCGGCGCTGCCGGGGCGGGCGGGCTCCCGCCGGGGCGCTTCCCCTCCAGTGACCAGACACCGAACAGCAGACACCGAACAGCAGACACGAAACCCAGCCAACCTTCATTTCTGCCTTTTCACACCTGCGGGCCTACGTGGAGGGAAAACACGTTTTCCCTAATGTCTGATCACCGGCTCACCTAGGGCAGACACAGCACTGGCCATCACCCGTCCAGAAGGTATCTCTACCAAAACAGATTTTTCAAATTTGTTGGACAAAGTACTAGACCTCCCTTGTGATTGACTCCTACGTACATTACTGCATCAGTTAAAGTAGTGGTGCTGTTCATACGGGGTGAAGCTGAGGCAGGGGAGGTTTAGGTTGGGTATCGGGAGAAGCTTTTTCACCCAGAGGCTGGCTGGGCACTGGAACAGCTCCCCAGGGCATCACAGCATCATCAGCCTGACAGGTTCAGGGGATGCCCTGTGCAGGGCTGGGAATTGGACTCAGGGGTCTTCGTGAGCCCCTTCCAACTCAGCATATTTTATGATTCTATATTCAGATTACTTATACTACCATAAGCAAGAAAATATCTGAGGAAGGGGTTTTGGTTTTACTGTGATCACTTCCCATACTTGTAAAGACAATAAACCATATCCAGCTGACCTCATAATCAATACCATGATCATTATTTTGAAGTAAGCCCTAGACAAAAAGTACAATGAAAACAAGCACTGAAGTGAGACACCACAGTGCCTGCCACATTTGCAAATTCTTTTTTGAGTCATGCTTCTCAGCACTCAAAGTTTTTGTTTCTTCCCTGCTATTAATAAAAATAAAAATCTTAATTTAAGAATGAAATCGAGACACACTCTTCTCACATCCGTAGGAAGCTGAGCAATAGAGTCATTTGAAAAAAAAGCAAGAATCAGGTTAGTAATAGTAGTCACGAACTGCAGAAACTACTTAAGCAGCAGAGCTCTTGATTTCACATGCATGTTTTCCTTACAGACTGCTCTTGGTGCAGCCCTGCGGACACAGGCAGTTCACATTAAGTCAGACTTTCCACCAAAGACAAACCTCTCTATAAAGACAAGGAGAACAAAAGCCTCCTGCACACACAAAACCAAAACCACACATCAAGGTAACGGCATGAACTGCTCTTGCAACCTGTGCATCTTACAAATGAGAAGCAGGCAGAAAAACAGGCAATTATACAAAAGAATTTATTTCAAAAGTTGTGATAAAAATAAGTTTTAAAAATGCACATTATAAACAATTGGTATGATAATACATTCATTTGAGGTCTCAGGTTCATTGGGAGTGGTCCCTGCAGAGCTGGCTCCCTGCAGGCTGCACACTGCGGGCAGGATGGGGAGCAGCGAGGCAGCCTCCACCCTGAGCTGATGCATTTTCTCTGTTAAAGCCAACCCTGCTCACTCTCTTCTCTTTACAAGAACCCAGGAAGGGACTCCAACCTAAGCACAGCTCTTCATGTGGTTACAGTGGGCATTCACACAAATGACTTTTTAGACGTCCCAAGTATGTGCAGCTACAAATTAAGTTAATGGAAGACAGGGAGTTTATCTTATCCTTAATCTCATGTTAAAGAGAAAAGTGTGGCTTGCATATTTAGGCACTTTATTTCCAGAGTGCCATCAAACTGAAGCAGTTTCACTGAAAAACATTTTCACTGTCTGGACAGTCTATGATTGTGGATGTAGAGAAGAAAAACAAAGATTTTTACAAACACATTTTTCTCACATGTAAGATGTTCATATACTCAGGATGGAGTGTAGTTGAACATTTCATTTTATTTTGATCTACTTCCAAATCCAGAATAATAATGAGAAACAATTTATAGAGACTATACTGAGGTCCTGCAGGTGGCCTGTCTCCACAAGAGGAGAACAGTTTAGTAATATTACCCGTGTGTGCACTGGAACAGCATTACATGGCTATAACACAGTATGAGAGCCAAAATAATTTAGGGCCCTAAATACAAACCCACCCTTTGATATACTGAAAACATCCCATCACTTTGAAGTGTACTGCTGCAGAACACAACTGTACACATGTCAAATTAAGAATCCACCAGGTCATTTTGAAATGATAATAGGCACCTGCACAAAAGGTAGGCTACAATTCGAGTATGAGAGGAAATCAGGATGTTACATGGTGGCAAGAAATGAGAACCTTCCCATGTTGAAACAGTTTAAAATGCATTTGACTCCAAACAATTTGAAATGTAAACCTGTCTGTCTGCTTTGAAGAGGAGGTATCTGAAGTGCTCTGTTTCCAAGAGTCCTTCAGGTAGGGATACTTCCTTGTCACACAACTTCTCCTCCACTTCCCAAGGGGGACAAAGCATACAAGCTTTGTTCCTTAATAGCATCCTACAATAATGTTTTCTTACAGCCCTCATGATGCCACTAGAGCAGTCTACATTCCTTTTCCAGTACTAAAGAGAATTTATATTTAAAGTGCATCTCAAATCAGGAATCTTTAACTAATATACAAGAAGAATATGCCAAGGCCTGCAGAAGCGTATTTGCGATACTGATGCCTTTTGATTTATCAGTAGGACAGAGTTCACACAAGGAGAAGACTCTTTGCTAATAAGCATGGATTTGGCCAGATTTGTGAGGTTTTTTGCAAATGGAGCAGCACACACATACATGGAGAGCAGAATTTATCCCAGTGAGAAACATTTAACTTAAATGAGTTTAAGCTTTTTGGTAAGTAAGCTTAAGCTTTTAGTTCAGATTTTTTTCCCATACTCAGTACTTTTCCTAACCATCTTTCCCAGTTCACCATCACAGAAACGTGAAGAAAACAAGAAAAGCTGATTTGTTAGTTTCTGTAGAAAGAAAAACCCCATTTGTTCTGTCATTCCAGCTAAACTATCTACAACTAAATGTGAAATCTTTTACACATTGGTTTAAAAATCAAGCATTTGCTGGTGTAATGCCACAATATTTTGAAAAAAGCTCCCTAAAGAATAAAACAAACAAAAAAAAGTCAAGCAGCTCCAGCATCATACAATTACAAAATTAAACCAGAAATTGCATAGATTATTTCCTCTAATTTTTCTAACAGTTTGAAAACATTTTTAGCCTTTATGAGACATCACACAAAGTTTCAGTACCATTCAGATGAACATACGAAAGTCACTGTGTTCATTGTGGCTGAACAGAACGTGACCTTAAAGGCAAAAAGCAATTGTCACTTGAACTAGTACATGGCTCTTGCTGGTCTGACTCGAGCTCTGGGGGCAGTGGGGGTGCACCAGGGTCTCCAGGCCCTGGGAGGGTGGCTGAGAAAACGCTGCACTGTGAATTTCCCATCTCTGCAATTGGTAAATTCATTGAATGAAGAGAGACAGCAGACACAAATGCAGCGGTGCTATAATCTTCCTCTGGGTGATGTATCTGGGTAGATTCCTTGTCTTTTGTTTTATCAAAGAAATTTGATTCATCAGAAAACGATCTAGAAAGATTATTTGTTCCTCCATACAGTGAGGTCATACAGGTGCTGCAGCTTAGACCTAAGACAAAAAAAACAGATACTGGATTTAGTTACAATATGGGCATGTCTTAAAACTCTGGTTTAATATCAGCAAGACTGTCAAAGATCAATTGTCTGTATTTTTAACAGAATAACCCTTCATCTCACCTGTGACATCCAGAATTCCTGACAAGCTAAAGAACAAACATGTAAGTTATCTAGGCTGATGTGAATGGTTTCTCTGCACTTAGTACCAGATAGTACTTGACAAAGATGCACCGTAACTTAAAGTTCTGTTTAGAAAGTCACTTTAGCCCTTTGGCCCAACTTTTTTTTTATTTTTCTCACTGTCTTCTTCAAACTTTTAAGAGCTTCACTTGATGATTCTGCTCCAAAGCAGACAGCAATTGAAGGCTATTTTACCTGAAGCCAGAGAAAACCTCAGGCCCTTCATCTCTACGGTTAAAACATATTTCTTTCTTTCTTTATTTGCCTTTTGATGAGCGTGGAAGGGGAAGTAACACTTTTGGTGTAGAAAGCCTATACTTTCTTCCTCTGCCTTAAAATATAATCACACATAGTCACTTCGAGGTTTGGGTGTCAACAAAACCTCTAAGGCTATATGAAAAAACACACACATGTATTTACAGTGTCTCCTTTTAAGCTGTGGCATTGAAGGCATACAGGGGAACTCCCTTCAAGCTGCATTTGCTAGCACATCTTCTGCTGAGGCACAAAGTTTAACTAAACCAGAGCATCCTGCCACTGCAGCAAATAGCTTCAAGAGAAATGCAGGATGGAAGATAACCACCTACTTTTGAAAAGCAAAAATGAAATGTGAAGACAGATTTATCCATCATAACAACACAATAGGGTTTTTCTAGCAACTTGTTACTTATGATGGATGTGTTCAGATAGTAAAAAGCCAGGATACATGCATTAGGATACATGCATGTTCTCAAACACAAACTGGTGATATTTCCAAACATGTTGTTCCAAATACCAGAGGAATACTTTAGTTTTGAATTTTAATTTTGCATACCCTCAAAATAAAACTCATGTCTTACACAACATTATTTAAAAATTGTTACCTTTAAGAGCTTCGAGCTTTTCATTTTTGACTTTCAACACTACATCAGTTATCTTTTGTAACAGGAAGTTTTGTGTTCTTTCTCGTCTGATAGATTCAATCAAAGTATCTAGTCCTTTTGGATTTTCTGCTAAGTAATCCAGTAACTTCCCAGTTTTTTTCCTACTGGAAGATCGAGCAGAAATTTCTTCTGTGTCCTCCCTAGTGAGTATTTTCTTAGAACGTAGGTAATCAAAGTGTCTCTCGGCTATGATTTTGTCACACAGGTAAGGACGCATCCTTTCTAAAGCCTGAAAAATAAAACAAACTAGTATTAATCAACATTTCAAATTATTCAGAAGCCTGTCCTTGGAATCCATGTGATTTTGATACAGGTTAGCAAATTAATTTTTAAGGCTGCCATTGTGTTACTTAGTTGAGATTTTTCTTGGTGAAAAAAAAATTTAAAAAACTGTTACCTAATTATTGCTTTCTTGACTCTTCTTAACTCTTTGACTGAACTCAGGAGTTCCAATGCTTGTTAAGAAATAAGGTGACTACTTATAGAAAATGTGATTACATAAGGTCTGAGGTTAGCACATTTCAAAACAGTCAAGTAAAAATGAAATTATATCAAACAGCACCTGCTCACTTTGTCTACAGATAGAACTATTTTCACTGGTCGCCACATTTCCATACTGATTGTATCCTTGAGGCACAACTCCAAAATACTGCAGTTACTGATGTTTTCTGTACATTGAGCAAAAGCAGTCTCAGAGCAACAGCATGTATGCACTCACAGTTCAAAGGGTTTGTAAATAAATCCCACCATTGACAAGTTAAACAAATTACTGACATCCAAAATACACAAATAGAGATGCACTTTCATCCATAAATGTAAATACTCTCAACAACATTAGTGGCTGTGTTTTGTCTTTTGCAACCCTACCCCATTGTATGAGTAATTTTATATGGCTCACCCTCATGCTTCTCAGCTCTCAACTGCAAGACTCCAACCTTTGTAACTCCTCCTCAACACGAGCCTGCCCAGACCAAGATGCCCTTGGCAGTTTTAGCTTCCTGAGGTGTGCTCTCCCCTGTCACACACAGCACCCTGGCTTGCAGAGATCCCATCAAAGGTACCTGAACAGCCCTGAGAGGGCTGAGTGAATTTACACTGAACCAGCATGTTGGAGCCACAACATTTAAAATCTGAGTGCATAAGCCCTAAAGTCAGATTTATAGGACTGCATTTTGATGGTAAAATGAATGTTGTTTCTACCTAAGGTTTCCATCCTTTCTCCTCCGACTACTATGGGAGGACCTCTAAGATTAAGGGCTGAAGTGCCAATCATGCACTTCTGAGAGGCAACCTTGGGTTCAGTCACTGACCCAGACTAACATATTTGTCATGCTATACCTGTATTGTCTGACTCAAGTAGTTTTTACTCTTTTTTGGTGTAACTACCCAATGCCACCTATTGCAGTATTAGCCTGTCATTCCACAGAAACAAGTACTAGCTTGAAAAACATGTCTCATAGAATTATGACAAAGCATTTAAAGGAAATCACATAAGCATAAAGCTAGAAAGAAACGAAAACCAAACTTGAAGGAGCCTTCACTGCACTTTAAAAGAACATAGAAAAACACCAATGACTCAAACATAAGACACTGTAAATTACAAACAGAACCATGGATAGGCAATAAATAAACAATAAACTGTGATTTTCCTTTTTTTTTTTTTTTAAACAAGCAATCACATGTTGAAGTTGGTTAGCACATTGCTTCCCAATCTCACAATGAGATAAATTAATCCAGAATGAATCAGGATGAAGTCTTCCCTCAGATTCCAGACATCAGTGAGTAAGTATAGGGGAAAACCCAGGAAAATATAGAATAATAAGCCTCAATAAAAAAAATATCTAAGTACACTTAACGAATAAATCCACGCTTTCTAAGAAAGAACTTTATTGTCACCGCACACAATTCAGCCAAGCCCTGGGTACCGCGTTTCTCGTCCCGTCCGCCTCCTGCTGCGCCTCAGCGGGAGAGCCGAGCCCTCACAGCTCTGCCCTTGGAACGCAGCCCCCGCAGGGCGAGCGGCCGCCAGAGCACAGCACGGCCGGGGCTCGGCCCGAGCACCGGGCCCCGGGACAAGTGCTCGCGAGTCACGATCAGCCTCACACCGGCGGGACCCCGGAGGGCACAGCCGTGCCCGAAATTCCCCGCCGCCTTCCCGGAGGTGCCTCCGGGCCGGTGCCGTCCTCCCGCCCGCTCCCACAG